CTCGAAAAATCTTTTCAATATAACAAGAGCGCCTTTTTTGGCAAAACAGGCAAATTTCCCAAAATTTTCTGTTTTTTTTTGGGGCCCGTATGTATTGCGCATAGGTAAAACCGGGCCCAAAACATGAGCGTGGATTTTTTAAAAGACATATTTTGGTTCCCGTTAAAAAAATGGCAAAAGAGGGAAAAATGGGCGATTTTATGCAAATACTCGGAATAGCATACAAAGCACATCTTTTTAAAATATCTAACATAATACGCACTTTTTTTTAGCCCCTTTTACAAATTAAAAAATTTGACCCCAAGATGACCAAAAAATTTTAGCATAGCAGAAAACGAAAGACAACGGGATGCTTGAAACAATGAACCCTCCTTTTTTTTTTTTTAATTTTTGAAAAAATTTTTTATGCCCGGGGAATCGGGAAGGTGAACGCGTAATGACGGGGGTTTCAGAGTCCCGAAAAAGTTTTTTAAATATTTTTACGATAGTGAGCGGTTGTTAATGTCGTTACAAATCAATAAAAAAATCGGACAGATATGAAAATATATTTTAAGCGAATGCTTTGAATATATTGTTCACCAGTAAACAGTACTAATAAACCTGGGACAAAGTATGGAATTTATTGTATGTCCAAAAATAAACTGAATCTCTATGACGTCAAGATGAATATTCAAAAAAAGGAAGCAGGAAGGTAATGCAAAAATTTAGCTGAAAACTTTGTCCAAAAGAAATATTTCGAAATGCTCAGGTGTTTTTCAGTATTTTTGTTTTTTAATTTTTTTATTTTTTCATGCCGAACCTCATTTTAATAAAATCCAATTTTTAAATTTATTGTACATTTTTTAAAAAAATTCAGAGTTACGGGGAAAAATTACTTATTCAGTTTTTTATTGTTTGTTTTAAATTTTTTGGGTATCTTTTCCAAAGCTTTTTGAAAAATTTTTTCAAAAAAATTTTGGTCCATAAAAGAAAGTTAGTTTTTTGTGAAAACTGCAAATTTATTTATTTCAAAAAAATTTATATTAGGGGTCCTCAAATTTTTTAAAACATTTCGGGAAGCAAGAAAATGTGAATTATATTTCACGTTTCCCATCAGGGTGATTTGCCTATAAATGGGCGATTTTTTAAATCTTCTTTGGGGACTCGAAAATTAGATTTAAAACGCAAAAGGGTCAATTTACAGACATTTTTATTTTTTTGTTAAAAATTTTTAAGCTTGCCCCTTTTCTGGGGATTTAAAAACTCTAGGTTCTTTCATTATTTGAATAGGGAATTTTTTTATTATTTTTGATAGTTTTTATTTGGGAAAGGGCCTTTGGCCTTTGAGTGCACTTATTTTAAATCATGCTTTTTCATTAAATTTTTCTGAAAAAAGATTCAGTTCTTGTTTAATACACAAAAAATCATTTATAATTAAAAGGGGAGAAAATAAGAATCCATAAAGAAAGCCTAACACGGCAAAATTGAAAATTTGCGGCTGGGTTTTTTTGAGCCTCGTTTCATCGGCACGGAACGTCAAGGCAAAAACCAACCGTCCAACGCCCCCTAGCACCAGCTTTTAACAGAATTCAACATTTTACTGAATTGGGAAAAAATTTAGAATTTTGAAACAATCCGCAGATTTTATATGGGGTTATCATTGAACCCTTCAATGGAATGTTAGGCCATGCAACGAAAAGCGCATATGGTCCCCAAGTAAAAAAATGTGTGTGCCCCTAAACGAGAAAAACAAATGGGCCCGGAACAAAAAAATGGATTTTCGAAAAGGGGGATCTGAGGTTTAGTAGCCTGCATAACACAGATAGACTTCAAAGACAAATTCAAAAAGCAGGCACATATCCAAAGGGTGATTTCAACAGTATTCAATTTTAGGAAAATACTGGAACCAGCCCCAACAAGTAAGATCAGAAAAGTAGAAAGAACTAAAAATCCACAAGTACAGCAATAATGGCCGTGCTGAACGACTTTAAGGATCGGAAATATAACATCCCTGATTAATGTACGGGGCGACTTTTTACAGCCTCCACACGGGCACAAACAATGCTGATGGGGCGAAAAATGGAGAAACTAAGAAAATCCCTAAAGAAAGCCCAACAAAATTGAAAAATGTTGCGCTCGCAGTCTAAAACACGCTTAAGTCGATCCAGATGTTCTTTTTTTATAATAATCTCTTATTTCCACTCATCATCATTTTCTTTTTTTACGAAATAATATGGATTCGATTCAAGAAGGATTTTTGGCGATATTTAGGTGGCATTCCGGTCGGCTTTATGTTTTATATCTTACAACTACGTGCTTACGATATATAATCAATGGTGAAATTTATTATACCAGTGTGTATGGCGTTCCATAAGGGTCATTATATTTTTAGAAGCTTTCTATATAAGAATCCGACAAAGGTCCGGCTATTCCAAAGGGACATACTTATACCCTTATATTTGTGTACCATGGATATTAACCATGTTTTATACGCCACATCCACAGTCTTGGATCTACACTTTGTAGACAGTACAGAGTCGATCTTTCTGCTTTGGATGGGTCACATCTCGAGTATCAGTGAATATTTGTTTTGAGTCAGCCATCGGGAAAAGGTGCTTTTCGACAGGACATTAGAAGCGTGACACGGAACTTTTTTTTTTCATTCATTCATACATTTACTTTCATTATAAATAATCATTTATTTTTGTAATTAAAATGTTAAATAGTTTGTACTGAGTTGTGCTTTGTTTTGTATGGTAGATGTGATCAGCCTGTGTCCCGTCGTAGTCGTTATTGTGACAGAGAACAGCCGATTTATGACACTTTGTTTGTTGCGAATCGGACTAACTTTGAATCGGCATAACAATTCTAATGATCAAGTAAAGAACATGCGGTTTGAAGCACACGAAAGGGTAATCATTTTCGGAGGAATCCGTGTCAGGATTTTTGTTTGCTTATCCAGCGATCTTTGATTACGTAATATGTACTGTGAAAAATGTTGTAAAAATTGTTTGACTTGAGGTAAAAAAAAAAGAAAAAAGTTGGAAAAATATGAGACAAGGTTAGTCAGATATCATTATCCTGTATATATTCCAAAAGTTTGATGACAAAAAATAAAAATAAAGAATGACTTTGAAAAGACGATTTAAAATAAAACAAATTATGTTTCAAATCAATTATATGTATTTACAAAGGCATTTTAAATATGTTATTTTATATGAAGATCAAACACATTCAATGCACAAGATTTAAATAAATAACAACTTTTACTAAATCAAGTTGGTTTAAATGACATTTATTGTAGAACCATGGGAAGTGTCTGTTGTCGCCTTAAGATATTTCTTGTTCTCTATAGTTTTAAAGAAAACAAACTCTTGAAAACCGGGATTTGTTAGATAATGTAAATACATACTTGTTATCATCTGTCGCTATAAGACATATTCTCTGAACACCTGGCATCATGTGAGTAAATGAAAAATGGGTTTATAGATGGTTTGCCCCCTTTTGTAAGTCAAAAGGGTTTTCTTAACGACCCTTTCATCCACAAAACCTTTTAACAACAGGACTGTTTTACACCTTTAAAAAGAATAAAGGCGCCCTTAAAAACATTTTTAAAACCGACAATAAAAGAAAAAAAAATCCCTAATTTATAGACAAAACGAAGAAAGTTTTTTTTTGGGGTTTTATTTTAGACCCTTTTAGATACAGGTTTTCCCCTTAGGTTTTTATTGTTTTTCAAATTAAAAGTTTCCAAACGGAAAATTTTTAAGCAATTCCCGCCTGTGACTAAGCATTTTTAATTAAGGGTAAAAAATGGTACAATAAATGTTTTTAGAATTTCAATTTACGGGAAACAAGTATAAAAAAATATCAAACTGTTTTGAACCAAACCCCCCGCGTCCCAAACGATAGAAAAACAAAAAAGCCTTCGGGCCCGAAAACCCCAAAATAAGTAGGCCCAAAGCATCAAAAAAATGTTTAAACGCCCGTTTTAGGGATAAAGCTTAAAGCAAATTTTTACATTGTTAATTCCTAAAGTTACTTTTAAAAAAACAAATTTAGTCAGATTTCCATTTTAAACAGAATATAAAAGAGAAAATGAAACAAAATCCCGATTTTAAAACCCTTTAAAATAAAAATTTTTAAAAAAGATGGGTTTCGTTAGATTTAATGTTCAATATACTTAAAACAGACGAAATTAAATAGATTGGGAAAAAAAGCAAATGGAACCCAAAAATTTTTCAATTTACAAATTTGGGTTTAAAACGGGGTAAACAATGAAATTGGGTTCCCCCGCAAAACCCAAAATACTTTTTTAAATTTGGCGTTATATGACATTTCATTGGGGCCCAAAAGCAAAAAATGAGTTATAATTTTTAATGTACACGATAAAAATTAAGGGATTAAATAACAAATTTTAAAACACAAAAAAACACATAACCGGGTTTTTTAGTTGACACCGAGTTGTTAAAAATGTCCCGAAAAAAAAAGTATATGTTTTTTAAAAGCATTAAGTATAGAAAAAATTTTGGGGTTTTTAGAAAAAAATAACTTGTTTTAAAATTAAAATAATTTTAATGGGGTTAAGTTTTAAAAAAAAAAATTTTAAAGTTAATTAAAAAATTTATAACTGTACCTCTTACTTCTAAACTATAACACCGCATTTCCTCAGAGTCAACTCTGTTAAGAATAAGAAGAAGAAATATAAAAGAACTTCATATAGCATAGAACTGAATTAAAGCAAATGAAATATGATTTCGACAGAATATCGAATTGCTGTGGCTTTAAAGATATAGGATATAACATGTCTTTCATAAAGGATGTACAAAGAATTTTATACTTAATATTATCAATCGATGTTTTAGTCATTCTTGAACAGAAAATTACAAATTGCATATCTACTTGTACACTTCGTAATAACTTGTGTTTAGTATTTATATACAACAACATGAAGTCGAAACGTTATTATATTTTTATATTGTATTTAATGTTCAATATAAAAAACACAACATTTTATCATTTTACCCAGTTATGTCAACAACTCTAATACACAGAACATGCTGTCCTTTATCTTCTACTGTTGGCTCCCATGACATAGATGTATATACCACACGTTCTCTTGTATCATTACGTAGACTTGATAATGTAACTTTCTCGCGATTTCGCCCGGACTGGATGAACCGTTCAATTGTTCTTTAAAATAATAATGTTCAGTTAAATAGGCAAATAGACTCGCTGTGCAAATACAAAATAAAATTGACATAATATTCATTACAGTATATTATTCGTAGTTTTACACTCTCTGATACGGTGACACATAGGTTCCATGTGTGTGTTTTTATTTATCCGGTTAGTCGTTGGTACGAGATAATTAAGTCGTCCAATCAGATTACACTATTTATATGAATTTTCCTAGTTAACAAGAAATGTGCTAGAGGACAAAGTGTGCCCCTACTTGACCTGCCTGTCGAAGTGGCCAGGACTTAGCAACTCGTGGCCACGACATAGTATCTCGTGCGCACCACTTAGTTATCACGTGGCCACGACTAAGTTACTCGTACGCTCGAGATAAATACAAACGCAGGTATGTCACTTTTGTGTCACCGCAATATGAAGCGAAAGATTTAGTATTCTTTAAATGTGTCGAATTAAATGTAGGTTCATTTGTATGTTACTTTATATTTTGCAAAATAATAGCTTATTATCATTATTATAATCATAATGCATGGCATAGCGCTAAATCTATAAGATGTTAAGAAATCAATAAACATGGCTTCATTTTGTGCAGGAAATTGTCTATAAGTAAAATCACTAGACCAAAACCTTTTCCCATTGAATGTTGTTCGTGTTAAGTATCGAGGCCCTGAAGAACACCGAAACTGTAAAATTTTAAATAGAAGTCTCGGTTGGTTTGACCTTTTTCTTTGAAATCGAGTTTTAAAAGGGTAGAAATTTAAGTGCTGTGTTTTATTTTGTGATAACGTTTTAGAATATTAAGTTTACAACAATATTTAGTTTACCAAATATCATTTCGTTACGCTTGTTGTTTTCTCGTTTATTTAATTGGGAGCTTTACTGCGCTTTTCATAGCCTGACACCATCGTGTCACATAAACACATCTGATGATGTTTTCTATATTAAATATTTTACCAAATTTGTTTTAATATTGAATTCTGCTTTATCTGGTGCTAGAGGCGTGGACTGTCCATAATCAGGCTTATCAAACCGAGTCTGCAATTCTCTTGTTATTTTGTTGTGATTAATGCTTCCGAGGGATCACTTTGTTTCCAGAATTTTATACTTCACAACAGCAGGTATCAAGTGCCGTGTGGCAGCCGTAAAAAGTTGCCCTACTTCACTTCAGTGTTGTTATATTTTCTGGTCCTTCGGAATCATTGATGCCAGCACTATTTAGTGTTGAGAATTGAGTACTGCTCAAGCCGGTGCTAGGGGGCGTGAGGGATGTTGCACCTATTCATTATCCCTCATGTACAGACTCAATCAAACCGAGTCTGCAATTCCCTTGTTATTTTGTTATGATTAATGCTTCCGAGATATCACTTTGTTTCCCGAATTTTAGGCAAACCGAACTTACAATATTTGCACTTTGGTCGTTTTGTGCGTTCTTTAGGGATTCTGTTTCATTCTATTTATTTTCTCATTTAAAACGGCTTATGCTTCCGAGGGATCACCCTTTTTCTCGATTTGATTGGACGACTTAATTATCTCATACCAACGACTAACCGGATAAATAAAAACACACACATGGAACATTTGTGTCACCGTATCAGAGAGTGTAAAACTACGAATAATATACTGTAATGACACAACAGCAGGTGTTAAGTGTCGTGTGGCAGCCGTAAAAAGTTGCCCCGTACTTCTCTTCAGTGTTGTTATATTTTCTTGTCCTTTAGTATCATTGATTCCAGTACTATTAAGTATTGAAAATTGTGTACCGCTCAAGACGGTGGTGGGGCATGAGGGCTGTTGAACCTTTTCATTATTCCTCATGTACAGACTTGTTTTGTTGTGATAAATGCTTCCGAGGGATTACCCCTTTTCCAGATTTTTAGTATATATAGCCTGTTATTTTTAAAAAGATAATTGATATTCGATAAATGTAGTCTATTCCATTTCTATATTCCTTCAAAAAGTAGAAATGAAAGAAAACTCAGTCTGTCTTATATTCTTTTATTTTTTTATGAATTTAATATTAGACTCAAATGTCAAGACATGAACAAAACGCCCTTTTATATGCAAGAAAATGCTAAAACTGGATCTTAGACATTTTAAGTTGTTTCTAAATGCACTATTTTAATCAGTTTTAAGTTGATAAAATCAATATATTGGTTATGTAGATAGTGATAAGGAGCACGTATTCTAACAGTTAAAGCAACATACGTATTTTCTGAAGCCCTGGCATAGACATCCGTGTTCCATATTGTACCAACGTATACTATAAACATGTGATCACCTTTGATAGTTGGAGAAACAAACTCTGGAGTTTCAAGATGTTCCAGTACCTGAACGGCAAACTGAAAAAAATGAACATGCTGTTTGACTTTCAATATTGCGTATAAATAGTTTAATACATTTTTATTATATAAATACATTAGATGTTAAGGTAACATCTTCTGTTTGTAATGGTAAATCATGAAATGAAGTATCATATGCTAAATCTTTTGTGAAACATTCAAGATCTATGCACAGCTTAATGTTATTTTATATACAAGCTCCGTTTTAGGGTAAATACTTGGATTGTGGAGTGTTAAAAATGTTTTGGTAAAAATAAATAAATAATAACACCTTGTTTTCATAAAACACAGATACTAATAAAATAATACACTTAAACTTAAAAGAGTAAAATTTGGCTCTTCAGCTGATTAGAAAGATGGAGTAAATATCATGCTTGCACTTTATCGTATACCTAAATATTATTGAACAGTATGAAAGAGTAACTAATATATTATTTGTTAGATACTAAACAGATGGATTAAATCAAACTCAAACATGACTTTAAGCTCAAGAATGATTCTAAACTCAAACAAAGTTAAATTAATGAGATCAAAATCATATAAAAATATTGAAAATATAGAACTTTTTGTTGCAATAACAATCACAGTAATAATAAAGATAATGTACAATTACATCGATTGAAGCAATCCATAATCAGCTTTTGATCGAATAAATGGATCAAAACATTTTTTCTCATTTAAGCATGTCGAATGAGTTTGTCATACTACTTACAATACAAATCATCCAATAAAATTTAAGGAATAATGTTGCATCATTAAACATGTTAATATATCAACATTGTATATCAATAATACCTGTGTCGAGGTGCATCTGTAGGATAATGATATACATGAAACGAAATTTATCAATAAAGTTTGAAAATGTAGATACATAATTTACATATATGTAGATGTATTTCTTTCAAATATTAATGATGCGACCTACATGAAACTGCATTTCAGAGCATGTGTTCTTGGAGTAAACAAAGGTATGGAACATAAAATGTACCTAATACTTATTGTTCATCACTGCAAGTATGAATGCATAGTCGACTGATAAGCTAATTAATTTTAATTATGTTAGATTTTTAAATCAACTACCAAGTTACGTCTGTAATTGTTTGCAGCACATGTAATTTATTTTTAAAAGTGAAAAGACTAAAATTATATTAGCTATCTTACAAATCACGATAAATTTTACCTGTGCACCAGTGGAACTAAGCGAGTATTTTACCGGTGGATTCTCCTTGTCACCAAACACTATTTTCATTTTGTTGTAATCTCGAAATGTAATCGGTATGACTACCCAAGTGTTGTCACTATAATTCAAAGATTTGCTGGTATTTATTGTCACTTTACAGACAGATGACTGGAACTGTGAGAATACAAAATAATAAAGATATTTGAATAATGATATACCGGTATGTGTATAAACGAGGTAAAGTCAAAAGGTTTCAAGACTGAGGCGATAGTTCTGCAATTATGATACATAATTAAATTACATAATGTACGACATGAAAAATAAAGTGTTACTATTTTAAATGATATCGCCATTTGAAGTATTGAAAAAATCACGATTTTTATTCTTTTGGATGCATGAACATTAACGTCGTCGAAAAGAATTATGTTACTCTTACTTCAAGTCTATGTTACTTTCTATGATGCCTTGGTAGCCCTTGCTTTCTGAGGTATTGCCACGACAATGTATGTTTCCAAAACATAAACTATTTAAGGGTTCATTAGAATTTATCACAGTTTCATTAATTTAAACATTGATTAGAAATTGCAACGTGTCTGTGTATGCCATGCCAATTTGTGCACAATATTAATGAACTAAGCGTTTTTCAAAGTGTCCCGTAAGCGTCTTATTTTTTGGACGCTAAAATACTTCGTTATGAATAAATATTTAGTGTTTGAGAATTAAAATAATTGTTATGAAATATGACACGTGCGTACTTTTGATAAGTTTTTGCTCCAAAGTATGATATAATAGAACATCTTTTAAGAAAATATAAGACTAAAATAAACAGTTTTGAAAGTGTCCCGTTCTTTAGTTTTACGATTTTTCATTCAAAGATGAACATTAACGTCGTCGATAAGAATTATGTTACTCTTACTTCAAGTCTATGTTACTTTCTATGATGCCTTGGTAGCCTTTGCTTTCTGAGGTATTGCGACGACAATGTATGTTTCCAAAACATAAACTATTTAAGGGTTCATTAGAATTTATCACAGTTTCATTAATTTAAACATTGATTAGAAATTGCAACGTGTCTGTGTATGCCATGCCAATTTGTGCACAATATTAATGAACTAAGCGTTTTTCAAAGTGTCCCGTAAGCGTCTTATTTTTTGGACGCTAAAATACTTCGTTATGAATAAATATTTAGTGTTTGAGAATTAAAATAATTGTTATGAAATATGACACGTGCGTACTTTTGATAAGTTTTTGCTCCAAAGTATGATAAAATAGAACATCATTTAAGAAAATATAAGACTAAAATAAACAGTTTTGAAAGTGTCCCTTGCCTTAGTTTTACGATTTTTCATTCAAAGATGAATATTATAAGAAAAGGTAACGCTCTGATAAATATACTCTATACTCTAATATACTGACGAGAAACCCTTTCCCACCTCTTTGTGTACATGAAGACCTTCTGGAACTGGCAATGTTCCAACTTCTGCGAACTGAGATAGATCACATCTTACAATATCGTTATCTGGATCAATCATTGGTATTCGTATAGTTGTACTCTGGTCCAACTTTACTCTAAAATGTTTGTATTTTGTATCAATATTATTTGATTTAAATCTAAATAGATAACAAATAGCATCAGGTGTTAGAATAATGATTCTTATTTTACTTACATATTGTAGCGTTTCAAGTTGTTATGTTTTGCTTCTTCAATTAACGCTATCAGCATTATTTCAGAGATCATATGACCTAGTATGTAAAACTTTTTTCATCACAGTAATGACATATATCTACGCTCCGTTTAAATATGCGTTTAATCATTACAAACGTTACAATGTGAATTATGTGAAGTAATCATGCAAAATAAGAAATTAAAATTAATGTTGTTAAATGTTATTTTAGAGATATATATTCAATTATCCTATGTCTTATTAAATAAAGATGTAACGTTCGCTGTTTAAAAATAAGATAGGCTTTTTTATTGGATATATGCTATAATAAAGCAATAAGTACAGGAACGCGGGACACTATTTCAAATCATAGATAGCATCAATGCTTTATAGTCTACACATTTTATTTAATATTATTTGATTTGATGCTCAATGCTTTGTTTTCTTAAATCTTAAATTTGTTATAAAAATATATAAATATTTACCTGTAAAATGGTTTGGTGACTACTTGAGGGCAGTTGTTCAATCCCTTAGTATCGCTACGAGATTTGCTTACAACTTTTGACTGAATTTGCCATTGTAAATCACTTCCGTACATCAAAGGTCTCCAATAAGATCCTTTAAACCTGTACCATATTTCTCGTTTAGTTATATCTAGATTTGGAATTAATATTTGAAACGCTTATGCGATATAGATGTTGAGGTTTGTAGTGCTATTCACTTCAATGTAAATATAATGATTATTTTAGTCACGTTTATATAAAGATAGGATATGCAACGGACATTTTTCTTTGCTAAGGATACGCAAATTAGCAGTCGCTATTGGTGCTTCCTGCGAGTAAACAAAATGTAACGTCCTCAGGAAAATTCGTAAAATATGTTCCAGGCTAATTGAATCTACTCATGAACGGCAAAGGTCAACTCTCAAGACATCCATCCACTCGAACAAGGATCAAGCAGACGCTTTTAGCATTTTTATATTTAGATTTAGAACATGCATAACTATAATGGTTTGTATGATTTAAGAATGAAAATTTAAAAATGAAAATAAAAAAGTAGTGAAAAGTCATACATTATATCTTCTTCCTCATGTTCCATTAAAATACTGAACGTCATTAATTCCTGTTCCCACATTGCATTCTCGCTAACAGCGATAACAATTTCTGTATAGTTTTGGTGGACAATATGATTTAAATGCCGTTCCGAAGTTTGACCATCAGGTTCCTTGTAATCAGAAGAAAAGTTTCCAAAACAGTAAATGCTGTCTGCTGCCTTCTCTTTTGTATCTCTTTGGTCATTTGTAATCAAATTTACACTAGTTGATTTACACGCATCTCCACATGGCCCTTTCCCAAGCGTCCATCCAGTAATCAGCTCAACATGTGCCTTTCAAAAATGAGTTTTAATTTTTAACTTTCACAAAGTGTATTTATTCGTATTTTGATTATCGTAAGCATTTTTTTATTCATTGCATCGATGATATAACCATTTACTAGCCTTTGTGAACAAATGAAATTAACCTTTATATACCGGTGTATTTCAACAACGCATTATAGCGAACCACATGAAATATGATAAACAAGATCAACAAGGAAAGGCGGCGTTCAATGAACGCAACCCCCATATGACCCAGCAACAAGAACCAATGGCAAGGAGCCCAGGCGGACCCCAAACAAAAACAGGACTGGACAGAGACGGAGCACGGACAGGTTAATCATTAAATGATAAATAATCTGCAACTGATTAGGAATTCAAAGAAAATAATAACAGGCCCACAAAGGGGAATGGGACAGGAGACCGTGGGAAGGGGGGCGGGGGGGGTAATCAAAGAAATAAAAACTAGAGGCAATGGGGAAGATACTTACCGTAGACGAGAAAACAACAAGGGACACCAGCAAAAGTGTCACCAAAAACAGTATGAAACAACATAGACATACATCTGAGGAACACAGTGGGGCGCCGCCTTGGAACGGTCAGCAGCATAATAATGACTGCTGGGGAGTTTAAACCGGTTAATGGTGCACCAAACCTCGCTCTTAGCCCCACCATGTTCCTATAAACGAGACAGTGTAAATAAAATGAATCCCCGCAAAGTGAAATTCTAACAGTTGTCATGGTTACAAAAGGTTAAATAAGTAAAACACTAAAATTATCATGTAGAAACATATAAAAGTAAATCCAATGACCATAACAAAAGTACCCGGATGTCCTAAAGGAAGACAGAGCAACAAGAAAATCACCTACAAGGGCCCGACGAAGCAAGGCAGAAGACGAACATTAAGACAATTCAGTCCCAAAGGGCTTTACGAACTATCCATCATAGAGTCTCCCACTTGGTCCGTCAGATGTAATCAAAAGAGGAAAGCGTAGTGTCCAACTGTAAAAGGGTTGAACACTAAACATGCAGTATGTCTTAAAATAGTAGGGTCATAACCTCTTTTAATAAAACGTTTAATGATATTAGTAAAAACAGCAGAAAAATCACCATGACCAAAAATCTTACGAAGTTTGTAAATCACATCGCCATAAAATTAGGTTGGCTAATCCCTTGTCGCAGAAGAGTTTTTAAATCAGTATTGAATTTAGAAATTAAATCAAAGTTACGATTGTAAAATTTAGTAAAATATTTCCGTAATTTATGATAGCGGTAGCCCTGTTTTAGAAGCTTGCTGGTAATAAAAATATTCCGCTCGTTGAAATCCTTTACGTTGCTACAAGCTCTAGCGAATCTAATTAACTGAGAAACATAGACCCCGTAAGATGTTGCATGGGGTACGTCTCCATCTAAATGTGGATAATTAACTATACAAAAGTCAAAGTCATCTCTTTTATCATAGATTTTCGTGTGAATAGAATTGTAGTTGATAGGAATGTGAAGATCCAAAAATGATGTACTAAAATTTCAAGAGTTCGTTTTATTAAGTTGTAGTTCATGCGGATAAATGTCAGACACCATTTGATCAAAATAAGGATTATCTAAATTAAAAATATCATCAAGGTATCTGGAAGTATTATTAAATGCGACTATAACATTTTGTTGTTTATCTTCAGAGAGTCCCAACATAAAGTCTCTTTCATAGCAGTACAAAAACAAATCGGCGACCAGGGGTGCACAATTAGTACCCATAGGAATTCCTATGATCTGTTTAAATAGGGTATTACCAAACCTGACATAAATGTTGTCTAAAAGAAAATAGAGTGCTCTACAAACTTCGTCACAGGTCCACATAGTATAATGTTTAACAATACCGTTAGTAAGAAAAGCTTTGTTAGAATTACATGCTAGAAAGGTAACTTTTTCCTGTGCAAAAGATTTCTGAATTAGGGAAATTAGTTTATCATTGATTAATTTATGTGGCAAAGTTGTATAAAGTGTAGAAAAATCGTATGTACTGACAGTTGAAGCTTGAAAGTTCTTAATTTTGAATTTATCCAAGATTTCACCAGAATTTTTAATTGACCAAAAGAGATGTTTGCCTGTGTTTTCATATACTTTATCACAATATCTAATTACATGTGTTTTAATGGCAGTCAAACAAGACGTCAATAAAATAGAAAGTTTACTTGTAGTGCAATATGTAGAATTAGCAATGAATCTGGCTTTGTAAGGTTTTTTATGTAATTTAGGAATCCAATACATAATAGGAAGTTTGACTTTAAGATTCGAAATATTAGTAATATAATTGTTTACAATGTCTTTTTTGGAGGCAGAGGTTTTAGAATACGCATTAGTACTATTTACTTCCTTGTGCAAAACGTTAATGTAATGGATTCGTCATACAATCATAATATTATTAGCCCGCTTGTCCGCTGGCACCAAAACAAATTTTGAATGAAAAGCTAGAATATCTTTTTTCAGATGTCTTAAAGAAAGTCTTGGTTTAGGTCATTTCCGAGATGAAAATAAATACGTGAATCAATAATTTTAAAAATGTTACGTTCCCATGATACTAGAGCATTACTATCCGCATTGTCACGGCGACGCCATTTGACCGAAAAATCCTCTATAGATTCAGCAATCTGACCACGACAAGCACTAAAATCAATCTCAGAAGGAATTCTGTATTTAGGTCCTTTCAAGATAGGTAAGAAATTTCTTTTGTCTGAAATTATATCAAAATTACAAGTGATTATATGGCCAAAATTCAAATTACAGAATTTAGAAGTATTGCAGTCTCAAGTTGTTGGAGTATTAGACAGAGTATCTAAGTCAGAAACCACTTTGTTGTAATCAAATATGATATTTCCAACAGGTTTCTTATATTTATAGCAAATAATTGGTATCTCGGAGTTTTTGAAGTATAAAGGAACTGAATTAGTGACACATTTATCACGAAAAATACTTGGTAAATCGATGAAAACGATACCTCTATTAAGAAAGGTTACTTTTAGGAAATGCCTGTTGTGGTCATAGGTGTTGTCGATATGAGGTCTTAAGACGTGCCGAGTATAACTTTGAATAAGATAAGCTGCTGTATATAAAGGATCTGTTTGAATAACTATATTATCTGCCTCCGCGTCTAAGATTTTCAGAGATGATAATGAAAGGGAAGTAAGACGTGATAACATTGCATGTTTACCAGAGTTTTTTAAGATAATATTTAAGTCGGTGACAGACAGGGTAATTTTAGATTTACGTTTGATGTTGCCATTTCTACGTACTCCGTGAGATCGGGATTTACGTTTACGAATATTCAGAATAGAAAATATATCAATGTTTGGATCTTTAGAGATGTAACCTTGTTGAAAAATATTGTCATTTAGGCCAAGTGGGAAAGGCGTTTGTAAGTTCTTGATCCATTTTAATTCTGCTATAAGTGTCTAACTTTAACTTTAAAACTAGCAGAAGCATCAGAATCATAAATTATTTGTTCCACTGGTTGAATTGACACATTTTTAAATGAATGACCATCTTTACGAAAATGTTGATATAGAAAAGTTGTAAATTTTGTGCGATTTCTCATTTTATATAAAAAATGTTTCACGGAATCGAATTTTAAGAGAACGTCCTGTTTGACCAACATACTGTATGCCACACCCAGGGGTGTTTCAAGTTAAAACATAAACAAAATGAGTTGCCTTTCAGTCAATATCTGTATTTAAAATAATATTAAAAGTTCTCCCATTTACATTAGAGGTAATTGTAGACCTGTGCGATAAAAAGTTACAACATCCGCACCTCTTAGAATTACACTTATTAATAGAAGGATACACTCTAGCTCTATGAGGATAATTAGTATGTGTGATATTATATTTCTTAAGAATGGTATGTTTTATAGGAGAAAGCCTAATGCGTAAAGAATTATTGAAAATATTAGAGTTAATAGATCGTGGAATATAAAATGAATTAACAGATGAAAAGTTTAAAGGCGAAAGAACGACGGATGGTGTTCGTCTAGGTGTACTGTGATTTCTAATCTGTAAAGAATTAGTAGACGTAGAATGTACCCGAAGAGGTGAAAAAAGTGTGTATTGTTTCTATTCAAGTTATTCATAATTATATGTAGTAATAAAATGATTCCGTGTCCAGTGGGGCACCAATATTAAAGTAACGAGACTAGAGTATTAGTGCCACAGTGTACACGCACGGGAAATGAAAACGTTTCTAAACCTTTATTAAAATATCGTAATCATATTAAGTTTTTAACAACTTTAGCTACATATGTAGATCGTTAAGCTATTAATTTTGATTAAATTAAAGATAGAAACGTGTTTTTAAAAAACGAGTTTATGTTAGAGCTGAAATGCACTCAACCTAGCACCAAAATTAGTTTTTGCCACAGCCTCAACAAATGATTTTTAAAAATATAAGCTATCATGCGCCAATATCGAAAGTAAAATAATTAAACGTGTTCCTTATTATGCGCAATCGGATAAAGAACTATCCCTTGCATTCACTACGTAACCTCTACGTAATAGTCTATTATGGCCGACATTGAAAAGTGTATTGCAAATTATCATAAATATACAGTGCTTACAATTAAATTCAGATGGTTTTATGAAGCATATCTATATATAAAGTGAGGCTGCATTATAAATAATCGAACATTAAAATCTTGAGTGTAAAATAAAGAAATTAACTATTTTGACTGAAGTCACGAAAACAGATTAAAAACACAGGAATCTACCACGGATAACATTAAGGGAAAAGCTTTCAGAATCAGGAAGGATTAAATTGCTGGCACAATACGTAGATTTAGGTTGATGTCCTGTATGTTTCATTAGGACACCGCATGATTTACTGTGTTGTCGCCATTAAAAGCTTCTCAAAACGAAAGTGAAAGTAGAAATAAACAATACTGAAAATCCAGTGAAATCACAAAAAGGTAAAATTTCTAGGGCATTACAATATATGAGTCTATATAAATATTAAGAATGCACTTTTA